GACCATGCTAGTTATTGGCCAGTATGCCTTCTCATTTTGCTTATCTTTCTAATAACATTGCTGCATCGCCGTCAGCATAAAAAGAGAAAATTAAATGTTTTTGGGCGGATGAAAGAGAAACAGAAGCAAGAGAATTACAAGTCAAAGTTGTCTCCTGTGTCAGAATCCCAGAGACGGTCTAAAACAGAAATACTTGTGTTGTCTCTCAACATGTGTGCGATCATCCAAAAACCACAAACGCCTCTGTTTTCTGTCTTACACAATCCTCCTTTTAAGCTTCAAAATCCTCAGTCGCAGCGGCACCAAATTAACTGCAGCTCATTTCACAAGCAAAAATCCAACAGGGATCCCAGTCACTGTATATCAAAGGTGTTTTGTAAACTTGATATAACTGCCTGTTGTGATATGAAACACAATAGCTGCGCCGGGTCAGGTCCTTCCACATCCATGGCAGTTCCCAGGCTTATTCAGATTTCAGAGATTTCACATGCAGTAGTAAAGCAGTAAAAAAAAAAACCCTTTCAGACCTCCACAGACGCTTACCGTTTGGCAGGGCCCCTCTTGTTAAGTAGTTGCACAGGTGATACCAGCCATAGTTTGCTCCCTCCCTCCTCCAGAAGTCCCAGTGAGCACGTCAAAGCAGGCAAAACCACAACAGGAAGTTTGGAACAGCAAAAAAAACTCTCAAGATTTCACAAAATCTGTGTCCGCTCAAGGACCGCAGTTTCTCAAAGCGGAGCCGTACGTATGTCCTGCACTTCTGTTAATCCAGCAAAAAGTTTCAGTGTGGAACTCCATGAGACTCGATGAGACTGAGCCAGCCCCTTGGTCACATTGCAGCCTTAGCCCAGAGGAGGGCTTTACAAGGTTTTCTGTGAACCCACCCCTCACTGCTACGTAAAAATAGCACAGAGACGCAGAGACAGGCAGCACGCCGACTTCAAGGAAACACATTCATCCAGAGATTTCCTGACAAAAAAAACCTTCTCACACCAGCTGGCAGCCAAACTGGTTCATGGGAATGTTGTTGCACTTCTATTACACACAAATCGAGACTGACGGGACAGGTAGGTGGAGCCCTGACTAATGCAGCCGTGCATTTAAAGTGTGGTCCAAGACTATCAAAAAGGAAGGAGGGAGAGTTCGTTCGAGTAGTTTTTCTCTGCTTCACTCGGGCTCGCTCTGTGTTTGTAGCAGCAGTGACAGCATCAGTGGTGAAAGTTTAGGGTTACTCTCACCCTTTGTAGTTAACTGCCCAAAGGTCCAGTTTCAGAGTGAAAGAATAAGAGGCTAATTACCAAGTGGAGACTGGAAATGTAAGCCAATCCCTCTTAATGCACATACTGTACACAAACACAACCTCTCCTGGCTCTGCAGACAAAGTGATGTAGCAAAGACAAAACACCAGAACACAATAAAAGATTAATCTTAATGACCTCAGTGATCCAGGTCAGTTGCAGATATGTTGTCCCCCATGTATCCACCAACCAATAAGTAACAATAAACAGCAACATGAAAATGCCAGCTATATATTATTAACCGTTCTTTAAAAACACAAAAGCTGTGGATGAAGGTTGTTTGATTGTTTATGTAAAATTAAAAAATAATAATACTATTGGCTGATATATCGTCAAAGATTTTTAAATTCCCAAATATCACTATTAATATTAACCTCAAAAATCCTTAACAGGTTTAATAAAAAATAGAAAACATCTGCTATCCTCAGCACAACCATGAAGCCGGGACTTGACTGAGCACATGAAAAAAAATTCAGGGACTTTTCAACTGAACCGCAGGTTGTTTACACAAAACGAAAAGGAGAAAAGCATGGCAACAAATTAAAAATGTAAATAGTAATTTATCTGTGTTATGTACAGTCACCACTGTTTCCAGTACTTTAGTGTTGTACATATTGATTCCAAGCTTTGTCCATTTTTGTGTAATAATTACTGAATCCTTTTTTTTTTATGGTTTATGCCATTATAACTTTATATGGCACAAAGGACATTGGCTGTTTCCATAGAGGTGCAGGACTTTCGTATTGCAGTCAGTCCACAGTGAGTAAAAATGTGACAGGAGCAAAAGAAAAGAAAAAAAAAACACCTATAAATTGCGTGATGTTCAGAGGGTTGATGATGCTTTGAGCTTAAAGCTGCTGAATGCCAACACTAGTGTGTCAACAATGTTCAGATTGAGTTTACAACTGACTCACATACAGCTGAAAAAGCAGTGAGCAAACTTCTATTCAGGCCTTTGCTGCAGTGCTACTTCCAGAACAAATTTGTTTAGCCCTTCTACTATTAGGAACAATAAGGTTCTATCACTCCATTTATTCATTTTCCTCATGTCTAATGAGCATGACAGCTGTGATCTTGTTCAATACAATCCCACTTCTGTCTGCTGCACCGCACATGGTCGCCCGTACTGTTACAGTACAAGTCATTTATGTCCTGCTGAACACCATGAAACACACGGCCTGCTCTTTAATAATGAATAGGCAGAGTCTAGACTTAACAGTTGTTGTATCACCACTGTGCTTTACTACAGCGCCCACTGTAGGGGTAACTCAGTCTGAGCAAAACTTTCATTTTTACTGCATCTTATTTTAAACTTGTAGAGTCCATCTAGTTGCAGTTAGTAGCGGCGCTTCAGAGTAGATATAAATGCCATAGACGGATATAAATCCATAAATTGGTTCAGCATCAGAGGGGCAAGTGCTACAAATACAGGCTCTGCTGTTCAATATTTCAAAAGAATTACAATCAGACTTTATAGCTGCTCTACAGAAAAGGAAGACGACAGGTATGATGGTCAAATAAGTTCCAGGATAAGGTCTATGTTTTCTTGAAGCAACTGGTTCATTTCAGTTTTACCACAGCCTGTCAAACGAATTTTTATTTATAGTTTTATTGTACACTGTCTCTTTGTTCACATCCCTGTCTGCAATCCAAGAACATAATCAAATAAGAGCAGTTAATCTTAATTATCCAATTTAAACCGACAGAAAATAACTTTTCTGCTAGGAACCCACTGACCAGACTTTAACTAAATGTAGTGTACTTATCCCTCGCATAAACACTTATTTACCTGCTTTAGTGCTCATTCTCTGCTCAAAAAGCAGCAAATTTCCAGTGTAGAGGCATTCTAATACACAAAGACAAGCCGTTCTTATTTGATGAGCCAAGCGCAGCCGACACCTTTGACACAATCCTCAGCGTGTGCATTTTCTGTTTGATCAGCTGCAAGTCAACGCTTAAAAAAGGGGGAAACGAGAGAGGAATCGACATATTTACTCAGACTAGGAAGAGCAAACAGGATGCAGCAGATCGGATGTTGATGGGACAGAAATATCAGTCAGAGTGCCATGGAGCCGTTGAATGAATGAGAAACAGGTGACTGCAGTCTGAAATGATAAGTATGACTAGAATTACGTGACCTGGCAGCCTGACAAACAGAAGCATGACAGAGATCACTTCCAGCAGTCAAGCTATGAATGAGATGTATCATCTAACCTTGCAGAATAATCTCCCGGTCCAAAGTACTCTTGTGATAAACTCAAATCGGTGTGTCTCGTTTGTGCACAAAGCCCCACCTTAGCTATTCTATTTATATCCTACAATTTGTCATTGCAAAACAAACAGAGGCTCGGCCACGTGTCCGCATTCTTACTACCGACTATGTTTCACAGCTACTTGACACGTAAGTGTAGACACAGAATGGAGGAGAAACAAAAAGCCAAAGCACACACAGAAGCGTTAGTGACGCCACAAAGCAGCCTGCAGGAAACAGGAAGACAGAACATGAAAGAGGTGATCAGGTCAAGATCACGGACATAAACAGTACAGACAAGTAAACAGGGAGCTGGAACAGGCCAAACTATGACACCACGCAAAGCTCAGTCATAGCTATGAACAGAACAACAATTACTAAAAGACAAGTAACACATGCAAGACAAAAAAACAAATGATTGTAGGTGAACAAAAACTTAAATAACAAAAAATAACACTGGAGTCCGTAAAGAATCTTACAAATGGTTAGAAAGAGATTAATAATGGATGTTTAGACAATACAATATGGGAAGAATGAAACTTTCCTTAGATCAAATTACAAATTAAAACAAGAAATAGGCAGTTGTGTTGCTGGAAATAGAGGATTTTTAAAATCATTTGATAATGAATCTCAATTCATGAATTTAAAAAAAGCTTTTAAGTCATCGCTAGTTTTTGTTGCCATTTAAATGAATCTAAATGTCTCTCAATTTACTTTGCGGTTTCTTTTTGGAATATAAAAACATCATAATTAGTTCCTGAGTTGATTCCATTACATGTTTAAACATTAAAATGCAGCTAAAAGCGCTGAAAAAGCAAATACATAACCTTGAATTGAGATTATTTTGTCATAAATACATGGTTAACTTCACTTGTTTCAACGGGTCACCTGAAGGAGTCCTACTGACTGAATGAACAGCATGAGATGTGGTTGCATGTTTAGATATTCTTATGAGCTGATTACATGAAAGCGACTTTGTCTCTCTTGTAATTCATTCCTTTTCTCTTGTCATAACCATTTGTGAGGTTCTGTGGGTCAAACAGGAGCGGGACTATGATGCTGGATGGATGGTGGAGCGGAGCGTTTCTTCACAGAGCGACAAGACAACATGTAGAGCAGCTGATGGGTGTGGATCGAGATGAGGAGGCACACGGCAGCAGCACACATGAGCAGAAACACGCTTCTCGGCTTCGGCAGTGAGCTGACTCACAACCGGAGGAGCAGTTTCTCTGCTTTGTTTGGCCAACAGTGAACCAGAAGACAAACTCCATTCTGGGTTTGAAGAGGTCGCAACAGAAAGCACGGGGCACGATGGGAAGCTCACTGAGAGTTCAAGGAAAGGCTGGAGTTCTGAGGGTCATCAAGCCTGGGATATGAAGGGGGAAGCTCAAGACGTCCAGACAAATCAAACTGGTGGGGGGAAGAATTTGGAGGATTCCCAAACTCCCTACCTGGGGAGGCAGCGTCCCCATCCAGCAGGTTGTCGTCCTCAGTGGTGTGGAAGTCCATGATGACGCCGGCTCCATCCAGCAGCTCCTCGTCGCTGCTTGCGCTGGCGATGCTGTTGTAGCTGTTCCTGCAGTAGCCTCTGTGGTACAGCTGCTCCGACTCCATTTAGCAACGCGCCGGTACCCTGGATGTAAAGGAGGGAGGGAGGAGGGGAGTGGTGGAGATATACATACTGTGTTGTGAGGAGGCTAGATTACAGCTATGGAGCAGGGCGGGTTGTTAATGTGCATACAGACTCATAGGTAAACAGCAGAGACAGGAAAGCACGCAGTTAGGGAGACGCACACACATGTATAGTCCAGCAAACCTCAACTTTGTCATCGCTTGAACGGACACAACCAGGAGATAGTTCTCAGAAACAAGCACAAAGAAGAAAAAGGACAAATACAAACGTGGACACATTTATTTATTCGATCCATCTTTTGCACTTTGGTCCATTTTCCTCTGGACGATGAAGCAATCAGTATGTCCACTGGGAACCGGAAAAGTAAACAAGAGGTGCCCCCAAAGACCCTATAAAATACACTCCATTAATAACAGATACATTATGTGATAGAATATTTGACAGTTTCCCTTTAATGCATTAGATGCAAACCACCGTGAAAGCTCGTAATCCAAAGGTTGAGCTGCATGAACAAAGCCCAGAGCACGTCTCCACAGGAATGATAGTATGTGACCACCAGGGCCTCTCTATTAGTACAAGGTGGGAGGCTTTGATAAATCATGCCTTTGGTATTATAAAAACCCTCCATGTCAGAATTTCATCAACTACTTTCAATTTCTTTTCATGTGCAAGTGTTCTTTGGATTTATAGAACGGTACAGAACACTACATTTGCAGGCGACAGCTAACCTTGAAAGGTAAGACAGAAATACTGTAGCCACTGAAAGTGCCTGGTAATGAAGGATGAAGTAAAACAAAAGATGAGAGGGAGGCGGGGGGGACACGTCTATTAGGCTGTAAGATGAATGTGGACTTTCATTGACTGGTGGATAGAGAAAGATGCATGAGGATGATCAGCCGAAGCAAACTCATGAGCCAGAGTGAGCCCTGGATGCCCGTGAAGAGGCAGAATGATTGAAAAGAAACAATTGTGTACATGACCAGAGGAGCAAGGAGTAGAAGTAAACCGCATTCTGACTCCTCGCCACTCCTGGTCATGGTTGTGCAGTTTTCATAGAGGTGCAGCACAGTGAAAAACAATGAGGAAAACCTGGGAGACAGGAGCAACAAGAAAAATGCAACAAATAAAAAAAAAGCAGCATTTTTTCCATTTTTGTTTCTCTATTGGTTTCTTCCCTTCAAACAATACTTGCAATTTTAAATCAAGATATTCGGCAGAGATTGCATAACAAACCAAAATCGTTTCTGTTTGCAGCGTCAAGTCCAGAGATGTATTTATAGAGTGAGGGATTAAAATGACACATGGACATCCGCTCTACAATGAGAGGATGGTTATGATAATATTCCTGCGGCACCGAGGAGAAAGCAGAGCAACATCAACACACCGCACGTCATCTGCTCTCAAACCTCGCCCCACTGTGGAGCAGAACGGAAACTACACCACAATGATAAACCACAAACGTGACCGACGGCGTGACAGACGTGACCTAAAACGATCCTCACCAGGCAGCGCACAATGACAGTCCAATGTCGGCTGACAATTAAAGATAACCTGGAGATATTTATAGGAGCGTGAGCCTCGAGATATGATGAGTCACAGAGTAATAATGAAAAGGAGGGAAAGCTTGTTCAGTAGGAAGACTTTTAATGTGTTGCTGTGGCCTCACTGATCTTCATTAATCCCTCAGAGGCTGACAGGCAACTCCACATTCCTCTAATATCTTTGTGAAAGGAGACCTGGGCAGAGATTTCCTAGCACCCTCCATGTCTGTCCTGAAGGGGTTTGATTCTTTATACTATCTTTATTCATTTTTCTAGATAAGTTTTTGGCAGAGACAGAAAGGAAATGTGGCAGTAAAGGTCTGGTCCAGCGATTAATCAATCCAGAGGCTCACTGCATTTGCACCCTTGTGGTCTGCATCCTAACGAATCGGCTATCGGGTTGCCCTGTGGTTTTATTTTTTATTTTATCTTGATTTTTCTTTTCTGCAGTGTGCTGTGGACCTTTAAAAGTGGCATTCAGAAAAGGCCACAACGTCAGAATGTGAAGAAAAGGAAAAGAAGGAGTCAGCTTAATTGATTTAGCAAGTAGATATTCTAAAAAAAAAAAAAAAGTGCCTCCCCAATCCAGTGAACAAAACTGTTTTGCACTTTTTTTTTTTAATCTAAGAACTGACATGTTAAACATAGTGCCTGTCTGTGAGCTGTCCCTATGAGGAAAAAAAATACTGAATTTGTCACTATAGTAAAAAATTTACCAGTTGACAACATCTCAACTATATTAAAAAAAAATAAAAAGTCCACCTGAATTAGTAAAGTATGTCAACTACTGAAGCAGCCAGGTGGGTGCGTCGATTAAAAACGTCACCACGTATTTGCGACCGTTGTCCGAGTGTATGATGGGAAACTGGCGCGCGATTTGTTTTCTTCGGAAGCTACCTTCTGTGGACATCCCCGTCACCCCCAGCTCTCTTTTATGGTGAGTAAAATTGGTTGTAACTTCTAATTTATTGCAGCTACTAAAGTTAGAACATAGTTTGAAGGAAGTCTGTGTTTTTTTTCTGGACTTTAACGCAAAAACCGTTGATACGGAGCTATACGCGGTTCGATGCTACATTCGAGCTAGCGGGTTGTGTCGCCTCACTGGTTGATTGCAACGGGGACGGCAGGTGGGTGGGACGATGAGGGTAAGGAACCTAGCTGGGTGAATTACATATTTATTTCGATTACACCACAGTTGGTGATTATTGGATCAGTGAAAAGACTTTTTGGTGAGTTGTATTTCTGGTCTGTTTGAGTTTAAATGAAGCCCGATGTATGTAGCTTAACGAGGCCTTTAAGCTAATACTGTTTACTTATGAAATAAATGGCAAAACCTAGCAACAAGTCATGTTTTTACGCTGATTTCTATCATTTCACTGGTAGGAACATGCAGAATGTAGTGTCACAATAAGTAAGATGAACATATTCATTAGTCAAATGAGTAAGATGCGAAAAATTATATATATTTTTGTCGTCATATGACAATAGAGCTAAATTTGTATTAGTCATCCGTCTTGTATAAAGATGTAAGCAAAGTAATTTACCTGATGCTTTTAGTTTCAGTTGTACGAAACTGAGAGTGGTTTATCACAGTGTGCAAAGTGGCTTTCACACAGGATGCGGTACCGCTGCGCTCTGATGCCTGTTCACTTCTGTTGCTTTGCGCCGCGCAACGAGACCGCGCACTGGCTGCGGTCAAAGGTCAAATGTGTTCCACTTTGACCCGTGCGCGCAATGACGTTGGACCGCGCGGCCAATAGGAACGAGGCATCTGACCTGCACGGAGGTCAAAGCGGAGGAAAAGCCGGTGCTGTGTATCTGAATCAGCCTATGGTCTGAATTGCAGAATCTGAATTGCAAAGTATATGACAAAACTTGTTGTATTGAAGCTCGGGGAGAAAAAAATTTCGTTATAGTGCGTAGGTAAATAAAATTGAATTGCACCGTGCTAACGCTTGCTGCGTACTACCAAGGGTAGTGCTAATGCTTGCTACTTAGCTCGGGATAATTACACATTAGCTGTTGAAGAGTTTGCATCAAACTGAAATCTTCCAGTTAGAGAGGATGGTGACATCCCCCTGCTGGAAGATTTAAAAACTCCGCCTATTTTGCAGTATCATATCTTGGATTTTTAGGTTCCCAATCCCATATCTGTTGTTGTGGTTTGTGATGTAATGACATTAACCTTTCTAGAAATCAGTGGTGGTAGGTTCGATGCCATTTCCTGCTTGCATGTTTTGATTGTCCTGACCAAATGAAAACATTGATCATATTAGTTCTGCTCTGTTTTTTGTTTGTGTTTGTTTGTTTGTTTTTCAAATTAGAGCTCCACACATGAGAAGAGGATGGTTCTTTCTGCTGGCGGTCCAGACTGTTTAGGTAAGCATTGCTTAACTCTTTTATCACATAGATTTTTTGAGTGGTTGGTAAACAAGTTTAAATTGTCGCTTGGAACAAATAGAAATTGCAGTAAAGATGTATCCTTTTCCTTACTGTTTTTACTTTAAAGTTAGATTAAATCCTTAACTTTCTGACTCTTTTGTAAATGCCACTCGTATTACTATATATGTGTACGTCTGTACATGAATGCTAGAACAAACTAAGATGGATAAATATATTTTTGCTTCCTTTAAATTATTGTGTAGGCCACTGATGATGGGGACACAGTCACCAAGGGAATGACATGTCGGTGGACCTTGAGGAAGCAGTGGTCCTGTCTGATCTGAAGGGCATCCTGAGCGTGAACGTCATGCTGATGGGTCTTCTTTTTGCTCTAAACATTGACTATCCAAAGGAACTGAGGTACACATTGACAGTCATTCAGAAGGTCCTGGTGAACATTGATGGAGGACCGTGTTCCTCACTTGTGCATGGTTTAAGAAATAGACTCCTGCAGATAACCATGTAAGACTGTGCTCTAAAGACGTATCTCATGTGCCTGAGAGTTGAAACTCTAATACTGAAGTTCTTCTTTTTTGCTGTCTGTTTTACATATTTGCAACTTGTCCATTTTTTTCTCTTATTTTTGCATTATGAATTGATTCAAGCTACCAATTGACATTACGAAGTGTTTGAAATATTCAGTACTCGGCCTCACAGCAGTTATAACAGTTAAATCCTGGGGCATTGGTTGAGATTGTACATGAGAAATGTTACGTCAAGTCTTTCTTTCATTGTTTATATTCCGACTACTGAGTGGTGTGAGCATATAATTCAGGACAATGATGAAACGGTTTACTTTTTGCTGCCTTAGCCTTTTCAGTTTTATGGAACGACGCGCACCAGTAATTGACATTGGTTGGATGTTAGTTGGTGGTTGTCGTGTGTCTCTTTAAAACTAACTTGTCCTAGTTATCGAGAAATGAAGTTAAGTAAATGTACAAACTTAAATCGAATTTACTAAAACAAACTTGTCCAGCATTTCTTTGAACTTAAATACCCATTTTAACATGACTAACGTAGTATGCTGTATTAAGTTCAATAAATGTATTAACTTAATTCAAATGAACACACCTGTTTCATTAACTGGAAATAGATTAACAAGTTCAAATAACTTCCCTAAACAGTTGAATCAATTAACAAATCTAAATCCAAACAAATTAAAACAAAGGTTCATACACCGAACTATTTTAATTAACCTAAAATAGATTTGCAAGTTGAAACAACTACCCTAAAGAGTTCAATAAATTAACAAATCCACATCAACTAAACTAACATAAAGGTTGATACAACAAGAGATATTTAATCAAGATAACAAAATTAATTGTTTCACAGTCCTTTCACTCATGATTTTAAGTTGAAATGTGTTACATTTTACAGTGCACCAACTCACACAGGCAGAAAACTGAGGTTTAAAACTGTCAAACATTTCAGCCACCACCATGATGCAATAGCAGGGGTGATGGAGGTATGACAGGAAGTGCTACGTGCTTCATCAGCTCTGATTATGAAGCCCTTTTCTATGTTGCAGCACAAGAAAGTAGTTCATTTCCTCAGCACCATCGTGTTTCCACACAGTTGTTCTCATTCAACTCCT